TTAGACTTTTCTCAAGTGTTCAGGCGCCTGTCTGACGAGGAAGTAAAAACCGTACACCTCTGGCTATTTGGTGAAAAGGAACTGGAATGCCACCCACAATTAGACTGCAGTCTGCAGTAGGTTCCAACAAGCCTACACTCGTCCCGTGGTCCCTTCAACAGCCCGTGCACACAAAGCTGCGGAGCCCTAAGAAGCGAACTCATCGCCGCCGCCCGCCAATCGAATTGCACTAGTCACTCACAAATCTGAGGATGCAACAGCCACACACAATAGACTTTGACCGGACTAGCTGAACAAATACTGTTCACTTTCGGTGCTGAAACGCCTTGCAGACAAATGATCATCAGAGAGTTCGTTCAGCTGAAGTTGGTCATTGCCAATATTGTTTTGAGGCGTTAGGTGAGGTGTGGTCGTTTCTTCCAAATACCGGTTTTCACAATTTCAGCCCACACCCACACTTGACACAGCCGACAGTGTTGCTTTGGAGGTTCACAGCCTGGCTTCGCGCACGACTTCTTTGACAGCGTTGGCCACCCACGCTGGGTATCGAGATGAAGCAAGACGCCTGTGATAGGGAGCACAAAAGCTCCGCTACCACGTGAAAGTTTGACACACAAACTCACGAAAAAGAAAACCTTCCTTGCAAGCTCTCAGCGTGAAAAACTGTCTTGTAAGTTGAGTGTATGCACGACGACCGAACCGAAAAGAAAGAAACACGAGAGTATAGACACTCGCAACGCACCCTTTCTGCCGCACACTTGAGCCAAATATGTTACCGTCGTAACAAACTTGTAAAAAACCTAGGGACATGTCTCCCAAAGGTTCCAAACTGTTCTGTAAACATGTTAAAGCATCTACTTTCCACAACAATGTGGAAAATAGCCACAAAGTCGAGAAACTTCTTTGCCTTGGACCCAAAGAGATTCTGAAGGTGCTTGATGGCGCCCGGCATCCTGTAGGGACAACAGCGGGCGCACCTGCCAGCTCAATGGGCACAGACTTTTCAGCGTTAAAAACATCCTTTTCGACTCCTGGAAGCTTAATGTCCGCTATCTGTTTCTGACAAAGGACTGCACATGCACGAACACAATGGTTCAACATGCCGGTGTGGAAATGTAAGAATGGTTGCGTCTTTCCTTGATGCTATCTCTCAGATTTGACAATGCTGCTAACTCCACTAGTGTTCAACTGCTTCCCAGACACCAATCAACCTTGGTTTCATCCTGCGCTGCATGAGAGGTCTTGGGTTCTGAATTAGGTTGCGCGAATCTCGACAAAGATCCTTGAGTCTGGCATGCTGGAGTCCCTCGATGAGGGTGCTGGTGTCTTGGTCGATGGCTGGTCGTAGGTGGTGAGGTGCGCATCAAGCAGTTGGGACTTGTGGCTGATCCAGAGTAGTTGTGGTCGGCCTTCACTGTCATCTTCTTTCATCAGAGCACGAGCAGGGCCTTTCCAGTGAATCTTGATAAAGTCGGAGGCTTCGGCATCTCTCCAACAGAAACACAGTTGCCCTGGGTGAAACTGAGCACTGTTGCCAAAGTAGCGACGAAGAAGACCACGTCTGAGCCTGCGATCAGCATCAGTCTGGATGATAGCCATTCGGGCAGTCGCCCTCTTTTGTAGTTCCTTCTCAAAGCCCTTGGAACCTTCAAGATGCAGTGGCGATTGGAGCGCAGAAGGTCACCAGGGAAGTGTGGCTGTTATCCAAGAAGCCATTGTGAAGGACTAGCATTAGGCTGAACGTTCAGCTGAGGCACAACCAAAAATGAGGTTCTCACGAACAGCGGCTGCTCCTTCTTGGCCACTGTTGTGTGCCTGTCCTTGCTGAGGTGCAGTGGCAATGGACATCCGGCGCCCGTGTCTGGGTCATTGGCTTCTTGGCTTGTGGTCTTTGACGATCCATTCATGTCTTGGGCTTCCTGTGTAAGAAAGCCGTTTTCCAAGGACTATCCTGGTGGCAATCACCATTATCAGATATTCCACACGCAAAATCTTGTTCGGGTATTTCTAATGTTCGATCTGATAAATAAACATATGAAGTTAAACTATTATTAATTGATATTGATAATAAAAGTAATAAACATCAACCTAAAACATTCTACTATATTTTTTTTCATTAAACTAAAAAAAACAAACAACATTATAAAACACGTTTTTTTGTTTCAAATGTCTGAACAACAAACACCAAAAACAGACATCGTGTGTGGTCTGGATCTGCATGTTCAGGATCCAACGTGCCGGTGGTTTGGGCTCGAGGTGGAAAAACATGTGTCAGAATGGTGCGGGATCAGCTGCCATGGAAACAACATGGGCAGTGGACTTAAATCAATTTCCACAAGTTGGTTGATTTGTATGCCAAAAACCCCAACTGCCTAACTTTGATGCGCAGGGCTGTTGATATCGCCAGTCGGCTCTACTGCAGGGCTCTGCCGCCCTGGGGGGCTTGGGTGCCGTGTTGCTTGGGCACCATGGTGCTTAAAATCGCCATGTTAGCATTGTGGTGGAGTTGCCAAAGCGCAAGTCCTCCAGAAGTCTGCTTAGATGGGCCCGTAAGTCTCCTTCAATGGTCGCGTCCGAGTGGCTTGGCTTGGAACGCCGGGGGTCCGATGGATGTCCAGAGGTGGAACCCTCAAAACCCCATGGGCTGTTGCACATGTGGACCAATGCCTACCCCGGGGCGGAAATGAGGGAATCTGCTCGGTCCACGTCAGGTACCGAGTTGGACGATGACACCTTTGGAGCCTTCGTGCCTGTGGATGGAGGTACTGGCCGCACCTGCAGGGCTGTGGAGGCCGATGAGGCCGCCAATACCGACACCGACAGGGAGTCTCTTGGTGGAACAGCAGGGAGGCTATTTTCTGCCTTCAGTACCATCGCTAGGGTGGAGAGCATTTGTCTTGAGAATCTCACATTTTCGGGGCTGCTTATATGTTTCATGAGGGAGGCTGGATAGCTAGTTGAGGCAGCAGTCGGAGTCAAAGACCCAAACCATTCAGCTAGTTGGACCAAGAGTTGACCATTTCGGTCTCGGTCAATTAAAATCCCTGCCACGATGAATGTAGTTTGAAAAGAGGGATGACTTGGAAACTCTTCCCCAGAGTTTGGGACGGGCAAGCATGGCTAAGGATCTTTTCCGCGGCCAATATCGGTGCCTGCAAGATGTTGTGTCAAGGCAGGGTGAAAAGCTTGGCTCAATAGCAGGATCTATGTCGAGGCGACCGGACTTACGAACCAATTATATATCTTTAGAGCATTACAAAAGAACCTGGGGTTGGACCTGCTTGAACCCGGTATTTTGTTCTTTTTGCGGAGAGCACGGAGCATAGCCGAGGATCATTTGGTGCTTTGTTTGCTTCGCACTTCGATTGGACCCCAGGCTAAGCCTCCCTTGGCACTGTGCTGTCAAAAAACCGTTTCAATTCCCCACAAACACCGGCCCTGCCGGTGTTTTCTTCCGCATGGCGCTAGGGACGCTCGGCTGTGTGGGCATTAACTACCACGCGCCCTCGACGCACTGCGAGCTCTGGAGCTCGGTCGAGTTGACGAGTGAAGCTTCTGTGAACCATACCTGCCTGCGTTTCGCCCAGGCGAGCGGTCTCACTGTTCGCGATGTCGGATCGCGGTCTGGTCGTTCTGGGGCCAGAGACATATACTACGGGGGCTGTCAATAAGGTCCAAAGAAAAATTGGCGAACTGTGTCAAAAGAAGATAGAAAAGACAAACAGGGAAGAACATAACAGGGGGGTGTCAATTTCACTAGGGGTTATCATACAGGTGTTCAACGGCTTAAACCGGTCGGATCCTCGCTTTTTGGATCCGTGCGCCGTGCACACTGGGGGAATGCACCCTAGACATGTTTGGGTCACCTGGCTTTGACCCGAGTATGACTTGCGAAATGCCTTGCCGCGAAAAAGGCCCCGGCCCTTCGCATGTGAAAATGACTCACTCACAAAGTAGAAGCAAGGATTCCCCACAAGCACCTAATTGACAACGTCATCGGAGTTTAAGACATCACGATGGAGCAGAATCACATAAAGTCACGATTGAGACTCGGCAGACACAAACTCAATACATCCACGGGGATGATTTAGCACGAGTAAACGCCACACGCAATCTTGCCTGATATTGAACTCCCACTTATGTAGATTCAGAAGACAACCGCCAAACATAGGAGGATCCGATACGGATAGCAATTTGTAAAAGATCAACGGGCCGGACCAAATCCAAAAGAATGAGGAAGGCTAGTAGAATTGGTCTTGGTACATGAAGAAGCAGGCCTCCTTGAGCACAAAACTGGAGCGATATCTATAACAAAAAATGGCAATCGTACCGCTCGTGGACTTTAAAGACCGCTCGTGCAAAGGTTGCAACTGTACCTCACCGGTGAATCATATACAGATGGACCATTGCACCCGCGGATCGCGGATTCATTCTGGGAGTTGATGACCTGTGATGAACGCGCCTTTGCTCGATAATTTTATGTAGTCTAAGTAATTTTATCATTTTCCTGCGGGTTTCTTTGTCTGTTGGTTTCCACCCGTGCCAGACTTGCAGTCGGTGTCCGATCTCCAAGAGCACAGATAGCAGCTAGGATGTGGATGTGGGACATCTAAATGGGATTGGCATGAAATACAACACTCGATGAGAAAGATCAATGCAAATAGCACAGACGATTCGCTGCTCATGCCAGCGAACTTAGTGCACATGCAGTGCTTTCGCAAACAGGCCTTTTGCTTGAAACGCGTCATGAAATTCAGAATCCTCTTCGCATCAGACAATTCCTCAGCATTACTATTGGATTCCGTCTTCAAAAAAGTCCATGAAACATCTTCTGGTAAAAATCAGAAAATTCCTCAGCATTACTATTGGATTCCGTCTTCAAAAAAGTTCATGAAACATCTTCTGGTAAAAAAAACAGATTGCACAAATCAGAACATCGCGTTGGAACTCTTTGAGCTCTGTCAAGTGTCATATCCACATCCCAAGTGATGAACTTCTCAAGCTGCATGGCACATGGGTCCCATCATCTACCCGGTCCCCTGAATGAAACGCCACACCGTAAAGACATGTTTCCAGGTGAGTCTATCAGTCTATCCGCACACTTCCCTCCCAAATTCTCAGACCATGACGCTACTTACCTACATCACCGAAACCAATGTATTTCACTACAAGTAGTCCGCATATTTTGTTCATGTGGGGTGAGCCCTTGGCCCTTGGCAGGAATCAGCAAGGCAACAAAGGGTGGCCATGTGTAATTTACAAACTCACTTGCGTGGATTCTTGTGGATGTGCAGTTGCCGAGGGTGGCTCCTTACCTCCTGAACCCCCTCCTGCTACTAAATTTGCACCGCAAATCTCCACACACTTCGAACCACCGATCTCTTCCTCGACCCTTTTTGCGGTAGAGATCGCGAGGACGCGGACTTCTTGCCCGTCCACGGTGGCAGCCATCGTGCCTGCGGGGAGGACGCGGAGCACGCATACTTGGTGGAGAAGTCCCTTTCTCTAAGTCATTGCGAGATGTCATGCAAAGAAAACAAGACCTGCGTGGCCTGGAGCGTTTAGGGGTGATGGTGGTGATGCCAATCGAACCCCGCAAGGGGAAGCCCTTTACAAAACTGAATTTGTGAAAAAACAATGCCAATAATATATATAATTTCATTGATTTACTTGCATTGTTTAATGGACATGGTTTTCATATTTCCCCAGATAGCAAGCTATGGGGTTCTTACTTCAAATAACAATGAGTTGCCCGTGCGCGCTTTCGAGACAGGTTGCTGGTGCTGGGTGCCGGTGCTGGTGCTGGTGCTGTGAGCTGGCTGTGCACACGGTGGAGACAGGTTGCTGGTGCCAGTGCTGGTGCTGGGTGCTGTGTGCCGGTGCTGGTGCTGGTGTTGTGAGCTGGCTGTGCACGTGGTGGAGACAGGTTGCTGGTGCTGGGTGCTGGGTGCCGGTGCTGGTGCTGTGAGCTGGCTGTGCACGTGGTGGAGACAGGTTGCTGGTGCTGGGTGCCAGTGCTGGCACTGGTGCTGACGTTGCGCATAGAACATTATACGGTATACGTACAAAAGTATGCGTGCAAGCAGTGCAGCCCTTGACACAGCTGTCGGCCAAAACAGAACCTGAAGAGTGTAAATACGCCACAGCGCTAATAGACAAAGAACGCCCAAGCGACGACGCCGCATGATGTTGTGTGCATAAGTTCATGCGGCCCCTGAATGCTGGCACTTCATTGTCAGAAGCGGCGCTTGGTCACCCTTCACTGCTGCAAGCGGCAGTTTGTTACCCTTCACTGTTAGAAGCGGCGGTTGTTATCACTTCACTGTCAGAAGCGGGCACCAGCACCGAGCACCGGCACGCCAGCTCACGGCGCCCAGCACCAGCACCAGCACCCAGCCCAGCACCAGCACCCAGCACCCGGCACCTTGTCTCCACCACGCGCGCAGCAGTCTTCACCACGCGCACTGCCAGCTCACACCACCGGCACCGGTGGCCGCTGTCTCCACCACGCACACTGCCCGTAAGGCTGCGCAAGCTGCCTACATTCTTGTTCCAGCCAGTCGCATGTCAACAGGTCGTGGGATTCTGCCCAGCTATCTGGGTCTATGCTGGTGTAATTTTGTTTCATTTGCCATTCTTTGTGCTGGACTGCGTGGCAGACCACAGGGGCTGATTTGTCAGTCTCGTTTGTTTGCTCTTCAAAAAGCTTGAGGCGGCTTAGCCTTAGCTGCTGGCGGCAAACATTTCACATGCGGGACACTTTGAACCTTTAAGATTTTGATGACCCTCACAAGGGGGGTAACAAGAAGCTATGAACGTAACAGGTGCATCCCCACTAGTAGCAAGTGCATTACTACTAGTAGCAAGAAGCTACGAACGTAGCTCTTTGCGTAATGCACACTAGTATCGATGCACTTAGTATGACTTTGTCCCAAGCAGAGGCCACCCAGTTGACAGCTCTGTGGGAAGTGCACTTTTACTATTCCGGGATTGTTGCCTGATGTATTGTAGAGCAGGGTCAACCACCCATGTACAAGCTCAACTGGTACAAATGCATGTCTAGGTAGGTGGTGGTACCAGGTGCGCGCTCGCATGTGCGAAGAACAAAGCATCGCTGGTGCATGCGCTGGTACTTCAAAGCATCGCTAGGCTTTCTTTTTACCATCATAGCAGCTATGTTTGTCACTCCATGTTTAAATTAATTCATATATAGGTACTAGATACCAAAACAACAATTTTATATTTTTATTTGCACCTCTTTCGAGCCATCGGGAAAACAAACACTGTAATTAGATGCTGTTTTTTTTGAACCTCGGCAAGCCCAACACCACGGTATTTATGAGATATTTTTGCACAACCAGGGTGTTTGACGTGTTTCTTTGATTTCTGATTCTGCTGCAAACAGGCACTTAAAGCAGTTCTGACCATGTTGCCGGCATTGGAATTTTGACTGAATCATTGCAAAACAACTATGATGTTTTTACTACAGCGTCGCAAAAACTTGATCCAAACATGGTCTAAAAGCGTTTAAAACAGCGTTTACTCTGTTGTTGAGGTGGGGGTGGAGTATGGGCGTGGCGGTTCCTGCAAGCTGTGGACGAGTTTCATGGACGTCCAGTCTTCAGTGCAAAGGGATGGCTCCACCTGCGGCTGGGATGGAAGTGGACGGGGGTTTAAACCCTTCTGCAGGTGCGTAAAAAGAACCACCAATAAAACCGGTTCTCCATTGTTCCTTTTGAACGTTGAACCTAGCTACGAGAAATGTGTGGTACAGTTGGTTGAGCTACCATGTGGAACCACTAGGATTAGAGATACAGCTATCAAGGTGGAGCGATCTGCGTGGTGTAAGTGACTGTCACAGTTGTTCTTTCGTCCACCTCACGAGCGACTTGCAAATCGGTTGCGGTTGCCGTGTGTCGTCGGTCACCGCAGTTCGGCAAGGCAGGAAGGCACAGTTTTGGCCGAAGACGAAGCCATTTAGCTTCTTGTTCCTAGTGCCAGGAGCCCCGAGTAGCGTCCTTGCTCCTAGTAGCGATGCCAGGAGCCCCTAGTAGCTTCTGCTTATGAAGTCATTCAGCCCCACATGTTCATTCGGCAGACTCCCCTGACAGAGGCCTCAAAAAAGAGTTCACTCATGTGGACAGCGAGAAAGGGGTGGCCTGCGCAAGCTCCGACCACGAGCCCAAATCCATCATGCAGATTTCAGCGCCCAGGATGTGATAAAGAATCGGAGATGAGAATTGGATGCGATGCGCATTCAGGTCCCGTTTTCTGGTGGATGTTGTATGGGTTTACCCCTCTCTCTCTCTATATATATAATACTTACAGGAGGATGGAACCACACTTGTTGAATGGGTTTTGGTGTTGTGCATCGTGGGTGTGATTACTGGGACCCCGGCAGGACCTTGGCCTTTTGTTTGCATACTTGAGTCCACATTCACATTGGGTCAATTTGGTTGTTTGGTTTGTCGTTACAAGTTGGCTGGAAACCTTCAGAGCAGGTCACGAGCTTGGAGGCGTGCAAAGAGACCTGTCGGCAAACGCTCGGTTGCATGGGCCTGGACTTCAGTGTCGGCCGATGTGACATTTGGACGGGCTTGGGTGGAATACAAGCAGGCCGGAGGGCACTCTTTGGCATGCTTCAAGGTATTTGGATTTGTTTTTCTCAAACAAAATTGATATGGATAGTCGAAATGTTCGTTGGCCCTCTCATTTTGGAAACAAACTTTGATGTATCAAGCGCACCGATGTGAGTGTTCCTGTGCAGCTCGCTGTGCACTTGAAATCGTTGATGTTCACGGCACTCTCGCCGGGGCCTCCCCTCAAATTGCAAGTTCTTGTAGAAGCCCCTTGGTCCTCTTTGGTCACATACAGACTTGAGTTTACCTTGGCAGTGTTACGTCCCAACGTCCCATGCGATTTCTAAATGATGGTCATTTCGGTGCTGCAAGTCGGATGATTTTGGTGCCCCGCACGCCGCCAGAAATGGCTCTCTCTCTCTCTCTCTCTCTTTCTGGAGGTGAAGAAATCGAAGACCACGTGTGCTTAAGACACCATGGACACTTGGCGCCCCCTGCTGCCAGCGAGAAGCAGCGGAATGCTCGCTTCTTGATTAGAGCCACCTTCGGCCCCACATTGAAAAGCTCCTCAGATGTGCTTGGGTGGGTCTTGTCAGCATGTTTCCCCATCACAATTTTCTTGTGTGGAATCAGGAACTTATTCTTAGGAACAGTCCACCAAGCAGCTTTCCAACGTTTTTTTCCCCCAAACAGTTTACTGTTGGGGGTTCTCAATTCTTTCTTAAGATGTGTCCGCCCTTTCTGTCACTGCTGGTTCGGTGCCTGCACTGCTGGTGTCCGCCCTTTTCCGCTGGCCATGCAGCATTTCTATTCATTTGTCTCCCATGTGATTTCTGTACTTTTGTCTGCCAGGTTCGGTGCCTGTACTGCTGGTGTCCACCCTTTTCTGCTGGCCATGCAGCATGTCTAGTCATTTGTCTCCCAGGTGAATTCTTTACTTTTGTCTCCCAGGTTCGGCGCCTGCACTGCTGGTGTCCGCCCTTTTCGGATAGCCACGCAGCATTTCTATTCATTTGTCTCCCATGTGATTTCTTATCTTCCCAAAATGAATGGATGGTTGGGTAGGGACATTTTGGGATTTGAAACATACAGGGGTAACTCCTGATCTTGATGCCATTTTGGCTCAAGATCAGGGCAGGGATTTGTTTTTCGCCATGCCGGCGATTCGCCGCACGTCGCTCACGGTGTGGCAACCGGGGGCGCGGCGGTGGCGGCGCGGGCACCGGGGGAGCAATCCCTGCGAGTTGTCGGTTGAGGACCGACGCGCTGATCTGGGGGCCAGGTCAGCCTACATCGTGTCGATTTGGGACACGATTGAGCGCCGGCCGGACGTGCAGGCTGACCATTGCCGCTGCTGTGGCGTATTTACAGCCTCCTGGTGCGAGGGCTGCTATTTCCGCCGGCCTGAGAGCTTTGGGGCGGTGTGCGCTGAGTGTGATCACCTGCACTTGGTCTGTGATCAGTGCAGGTTTGATCACATCTCTTGGGAGCAAGGCCATGCCGCGTACATCGAAGACGGAGGCCAAGACACCGAGGACCAGGTCGAGATCACCGGGTGGGGTGACAGGGCCAATTCACCCCATTTCGAAGCTACCTCCAGCCAGGTCTCCATTGAGGAGGTCGCGCAGATCCTCGGAATCTCAGCCCAGCAGGCCAGAGACCTCATCAAAGAGCAGCTGTCCGGTACCTCCCAAGCAGCCTCCAGTGCCTCCACCGAGGCAGGCAATTCCTAGGCAGCCCATGCCCCCGCCTGGACCTCCTCCACTGAGGCTGAGGAGGCCGCGGTCGCCTTCTGTGTCGCCTGGGCGCGGCCGCATTCCGGTTGTGACTGTGCGCCAACCGGACCAGGCCATGGAGGCCGATTTGCTGGAGTTGGTTGCCGAGCGCTCGGATGAGTTGGTGCAGCTATTTTGCCACCAGGGCGTCCAGACCTGCCAGGACGTGGTTGGCATTTGGTCCCATGGCGGCGAGTTGGTGTCGGAGCTTGAGCACATCCAAGGCCCCCCTGGACGCCGAAGAAGCATTCCAGGTTAGCGCCTTATGGACGCTTGCCGCTCGCCGGGCCCAAGATCACCACAGGCGCGTTGCCAGAGCGGTGATCGGGAACCGTGATTCGGTCGTGGAGACCACGTCAATGGTGGTGGCACCTCAAGGCACAGGTCCCAAGAAACACGTTCGTCAGCTGCTGGAGACTGGGTTCCCAGGGCGACCACCAATGCTACTTGCAGCCGTGGCAGCCGATCCCCACACCAAGGCTGAAGCCAAGAGGGCCACCAAAACTCAGGCCCTCTTTGACCTGTTGCTGAGCGATTTCCTCAACATCGCCGAGCTGGGGGTGACCTGGGAAGAGTTGAGTGATCCCGTGCGACTGCAGCAGTTCAAGGATCAGATTATGCAGTCAACCGGACGCCTCACTGAGGCGAGGATTGGCGCCCTGCTGGCGGCTTTGCGGCGATGGCAGCGGTACGCCTCTGAGAAGGCTTTCGCCGTTGCCCAGCCAACACCGCTCCAGTTGGGCGAATTCTTTCGCGCCGTGGCCCAGGGCGGCCCTACAGCAGCATCCTCGATGTTCCAGGCCTTGAAGTGGTTCAGGGTTACCTTTGGCCTCAACTTCAATACAGATCATTGGCTTACCCAACCCTTCAGGCTGCTCCCACCTGATCATCGGGTACAACAGAGGACCGAACTACAGCCCTGGGAGCTGGTGAACCTGTTATTGATGATGAAGAAAGCATCAGGTACCCACTTGTTGATTTTGACATTTTTTGTCTGGGCAGCTATTTCGTGTGTACGCTTTGAACATTTTCAAAGGTCACATTACATTGAGAGCCACCCCCAGTGCCTGATCTTCGAGTGCTCCCAAGGCAAAGCTCGACGACGTGGAGCGCGACCTCCCTACTCGTGGGGCTATGCCAGAACTGGAGTTCCAAGGGCTCAGCATCCACCGTATTGTGAGGGACTTCGTGACCATGGAGCTGAACCCCCAGTTGAATTTCCTGTGGCCGGCCCTCCAACTCAGCTCGGATGATCTCTGGGAGGTCACCGAGGGCACGGCGTGGCTGGTGAACAGGAAGATGTCGCGGGGTCGCTTTCTGGAACTCCTTCGTGGTGCGCTCATCACCATGCAGGTGGATCATGCCCAGGCCCGGGGAGCTGGCTACAATAGACTGCGCCGTTTTCTGCCCACCATGGGCCTGGTGCGTGGCTTGCAGCCATCAAACCAGCAGGCCATTGGAAACTGGCAGGAGGTCCCCAGTGCCGGAGGCCCCGAACCAGTTCGTAAGAGCAAAGCAGTATGGTCAATGGGCCTTCACTACGCTGGACAGAAGGTGTTGCACTCCGCAGCAGTCAAGAGGGCGTTGATTCAGAGGTTCCTCCACCTACTTCGGCGCAAGCTCCCGGAACTGGCCCTCAATGCAGATGGTCTCGTGGCCCGTGATGCCTGGACCTGGCCAGAGTTAGCCCAGATGAACGAGAGCTTTGGACCGTTGGAGGCAGCATTGATGACGCCTGAGGTCCAGCCCCCATCAGAGACACCGCCCTTGGAAGCCTCGGGGAGTGCCTTGCCTGTGGCAGGCCCAGCAGACGAGGTTAAGACTGAGGAGGTAGACAACGTCACACCCCCGGTGGTGGAAGCTGATCCGATGGCCCAGTCGGTTTCTTCGTCTACTACCTCCTCGTCCGCGTCGGACTGTTCGGCTATGGGCAGCGACTTGGAGGGTGTCCTGGCAGAGGAGGCGGCTATCACAGAAGCCAAGTGGTTCGTCCAAAGCCGTCGAGTCCACATTGTCAGTGGCGTGGTCGATGAGCGCCAGCTGCCGTATTGCCGGGATTCACCTTTCGCCCAAGACCCCAAGAGCCAGGGCGAGGGCTTCGGATTGGTTGTTCGGAGCCAGTTTTGCCAGCGATGCCTGGCACGCATGCCACGAGGCCTCTATGCCTCCCTGGCTGACCAGTGCGGATGGTTGCACTGAGTGTATAAAAAGCCGAGGGGCCAGAGCCCTGTGGGGGTGCTGGGTCGGGGTCGACGTGCGTCTAGGTGGGGTTCGGTTTTGACTTGGTCACCGACCGTTCCGACGTCGTTTGTTCCCAGTCGGTCGTTTCGGTTGGGTCCCCTACCCCCTTTTCCTTTCCCCCCTTGGGGTTGGCTTGAAGGGGGGCACCTTCGGTCTGTGACCTGGTTTGGCCTCGCCGCGGATGCCACCGGAATGGGGAGGGCGTCGGGGCGTGGTCATTCGTTCGGACGGACAGGGTGGTAGGTCCGCGTTTTTTTTTTGGGAGTTTGCTTTGTCGCAACCCAGCTCCGGGCTCACAGGGATCGTAGCTAGTTCACTCAAGCTCTCGTTTGTGGTGCCCCTACGACCATGAGCAGTTCAAGGCGCATTGATACATATCAGGATGACCGTGGATTGACAACCTGCTTCGCTGGGGCCAACATCCTGGAGGAGTGGAAGAGTGAGTTAGTCCACATCCACAAGTGGGAAACCTTGGAAGATTTTGTTTACTACTTCAATGAGTCTTCCATGGAAACATCATTGGATCAGGTACTCCAGCCCACCAAGATGAAGGACAACAGGTTGTTGCGGGCGCGGCTTAAAGCAGCCCATGCAGCTGGCCTGGAGGCCACTCGTGCAGCCGCTGCAGAAGCAAAACAGCCAGAGGCGGTTGATGAGACACTCCCCGAATCGACAATGCAACAACTTCACAAGGACTTTGCCACCAAGTATGGTGTGGTGTTGGATGCGTTCTTGGAACCATCAGACGCCCTTCGGTCCCGTGTCTATAGGGAATTCCGCAAGAGGACGATGTCGGTCATCAGCGTGGCAAAGGTCCGCTCTATCCTCCACCAATCGGCGCCCAAGCAACAAGAATCAGTCCGCCTGGGTGCGGGCGTTCAGCTTGAGTTCGCAGCCGACGACCATCGTATCGTTCGCACCGTGGTGGAGTACTACTTTTCACTACGCACTTTGGCTTATGCCTGGGCGTGGGGAGGTTTGTACAAGGTGTCAGACTTCGATGGCAATGAGAAGGTCTTCATGCCCCTTACCCCAGCTATGTCATATGCAGATCAAGCCCTGCAATTCACCATGGAATTCGGGCAGGGCAGCCTACTGTGGTTGGAGAGGAATGACATCAACACACGCTCCAAGATGGCTTCCCTCATCCGCCGTGGCTACACAGGGCAATCTGCACTGGAGGAGGCATTACGCCAAACCCATATTGACTGGCGCGCCCCGGGGGTCCAGCCAACCTTGCCTGAGGCAGGTTCCTCCCCAAAACGGCGCATGACGGAGAGCGATCAGCCACAGGAGAAGGGCCCTGCCAAGGAGCGGCGCATGGTCAAGACGGACAAATGGCCCACTATCTCTATGTTGAAAGGGGGCCAGAAGATTTGCAAGCCATTCAATGATGGGCGTGGTTGCACCAAGGCGGGCTGCAAAGATCTGCATCAGTGCGATGTCAAGCTGAGCTCAGGGAAAGCCTGCCTGGCCAGCCACACCCGGCTTCAGCGTGAATAGGGACAGCGCCCCCCGAGGGTCGGGGAACCCCGGGGGGGCCCAGG